TCATTGTTTGAAGCTTTAAACCCAAACCTGAGGGCGTATTCGACATCTATCCCATCTAGAGAGGTTAGTATCAGGCCTGCGCCACTTCCTTGAGCATTGGTAGCTCCATCCACAGAGAGTTTCCATGTAGGAAGGTCAGGTATTAGCTACGTTGCTTCCATAGGCGCTGGTGATGTAAATTCTGCGATGAAATCTGCTAAAACTTGACCTTTGACTGCAGTTCTAGGTTTAAATTTGATGTCGAACTCGCTGAGCTCTATGACCCACTTTATCAGCCTCCCCGAGGACTCTGGCTTATGCAACACTTGTTTCATTAGTTATTTTGTTGGAACCTCGATGGTATGAGCCAGAAAATAAGGTTTGAGTCTTCTAGCCATAGTTACCAACGCTAAGGTAAGTTTTTTCATTTTCGGATATCTCTCATCTGTCCCCCTTAGAGCTCTACTGCAATAGTAGACTGGTTGTTGGGACCTGTCTTGCTTCCTCACCAGAGCTGCACTAGTCAAGAAATCTGAAACAGCTAGATAGAGGGTTACTATCTCCCCCTATAAGGGACTTACCAAGATAGGAGGGGAGCTCAGGTAAGCCTTCAAGGCTTTGAATGCCTCTTCACATTGGGCATCCCATAGAAACGCCTTTTTTTAAGATCTGAAAGAAAGACCGGCATTTATCACTTGATCTGGAGACGAAACGACTCAAGACAACTATTCTTCCTGTCAAGCGTTGGATCTCCTTTACATTAGAAGGTGGCTGCATATCCAAGACTGCCTTAACCTTTTATGGGTTGGCCTCGATTCCTCTACTGTTGACTATGAAACCCAAAAATTTTCCTACAGATACTCCGAAGGCACACTTTGCAGGATTGAGTTTCATCTTGTATTGCTTAATGACTTGGAACGATTCCGCTAGATGTGCAATATGGAGTTCTGCCTTCAATGATTTCACCAACATATCGTGGATATATACCTCCATGGATGTTCCAATTTGACCTTGGAACATCCGATTTAGTAGACGCTGGTAGGTGGCTCCTACATTTTTTAGTCCAAAAGGCATAACCTAGTAACAGTATGTTCCTTGCTCGGATATAAAAGAGGTTTTCTCTTGGTCGGCTGGATCCATTCTAATCTGAATATATCCTGAGAAAGCATCCATGAAATTGAGGAGTTCATGTCCAGCTGTGGCATCTACTATCAGGTCTATCCGACGTAAAGGAAAGCTGTCCTTGGGGCATGCACGGTTGAGATCAGTGAAGTCAATGCATAACCGCCATTAGTCGTTGGCTTTCTTGACAAGAACCACATTGACCAGCTAGGTAGGGTATTCAATTTCCCTAATGGCTCTGGCGTGGAAAAGTTTACTGACCTCCTGATTGATTACCTTCTAGCGTTCTGGGGCAAAACTCCTTCGTTTTTGCTTGACCGCCCGATAAGTGGGATTCACACTGAGCTTGTGTGTGATGAACGAGGGGTTAATTCCTTCCATGTCTTCTTGCTTCCAAGCATATACTCTCCTATTCTCCTTTAGGAATTGGATGAGGAGGTCTTTTATTTCCTGGCTTAGCTTAGACCCGACGTAAACAAGGTGTTCAGGCTCTAGCTCCTCTGATGGTGTTGGTCTAGTATCCAGTTCGTCCCTCATATCTAGCTCATCTAGCTTGACATTCTCGACTTCCTTCTGCTTTATCGAGGTCAAGTAACACTCCTTCGCTACCTGCTAGTCTCCTCGGACCACTCCAACTCCATTTTTCGTAGAAAATTTCATAACCAAGTGATAGGCAGAGGGAATTGCTTTCATCACATTGAGGGAGGGCCTCCCGAGAAGCATATTATATGCAAAAGGGGCATCCACCACTAGGAATCTTACTGTGGTGGCGGCCTGGCAGGGAGGATCTCCCATGGTGAGGACGAGCAGGATTGAGCCCAGGGGTAATACCCTTTCTCCTGCGAAACCCAACAGGTGAGCACTGACCGACTCTAGATTTTCCCTACCTATATCCTTTTTGTCAAACGCAGAAGCGAATATGATATCTGCTGAGCTCCCGTTGTCAATTAAAACTCAATAAACAATTTTATTAGCCACAACAGCTTTAACCACTAGTGGATCATCATGGGGGTGCTGGTAGCCTTCTAAATTTGAGTTTGAAAAGGTGATAGCCAAGTTCAGCGAAGGCACCTTGGATACTGTGTGTATTTCCAACGCTTTGCTAGCTCTGATTTTGCGCAAGTGCGCCTTCTGGGCAGAACTGGACTCCCCACCCCCTGCGAATCCACCAGAAATTACTCTGATTTCACCCGGGGGGTTGTTGGTGTAACACAAGAGCTTGTTGTTGAGGTGGTGGAGGTGGAGGGGCTGGGTCCTGATTATCTTGAGCTACATAACGGCGTAACTGACCCCACTGGATTAGGAATTCAATCTCTTTCTTCAATTGGATGCAATCATCAGTATGGTGACCATGATCTCTATGGTATTCGCAATACTTTGTGGGATCCCTCTTTGCTGGGTCTGCTTTCATTCGAGGTGGTCATCTTAGAAACTTCTCGCTCTGCACCTCTTATAAGATCTAAAATATCGTTGCGGTGAGTGGGGGGAGCTGTCGAGGTGTGTATCTTGGTTGTAGCTCTGGCCGTGGTGGACCTAAGTGATCTCTGACATCTCCCCTCATTTTGGGGGAGCGATCTCTGTCCCGTCTTGGAGACCTATCACGCCCTCTTTCTCTTCTAGGACTTCGGTCCCTTTTTCTTTCCTCTTTCCCTTTGTCTTTTTGCGTAGATGAACTTCCCACTTTTGAGAGAAGGGCCTCTTCACCGTTTATGTATTTTTCTGCCTTAGCCAACACCTCAACCATGCTTGCCTGAGAGTTCTTTGAAATAAAGAACATTAGATCTTTGGACTGTACGTCTAGACCAGCTATAAAGGCTGTAATGGCGAACTTCTCATCTAGGACATCCATTTTCAGTAACTCTGAGTTGAACCGCTGGATATAAGACCTAAGGTTCTCTAAGGGTCCTTGTTTCACGTTCAATAAGTGGTAGCTCGGCTTCCGATATATTCGAGCTCCTATGAAGTGAGATACGAAGAATATAGACAGCTCTTTAAAAGAGGAGATTGAGGATGGGGGGAGCCTATTGAACCATGTCAGGGCTTACCCTTTTAGCGTGATGGTGAAGGCTTTACAACTCATTAGATCTTGGTACCCACGGAGCTCCATCTAGTTTTTATAAGTATTTGGGTGGTCTACGGGGTCCTTTGTCCCATCAAAAGCTTCTATTTGCGGCATTTTGAATTTTGGGGGAGGGAAAAATGCAACATCCCTACGAAGAATGGTGACTCAGTTTGTTGTACCAGGACATCCATTGTAACTAGAACCTTATTCTTCACAGCTTCCTTCATATGGCTGAGCTCTTGCTGGATGTCATTGAAGCGCTGCTCCCAATACTGCTCTCTCATCTCCTGTTGATAGGGAAAAAAATAATTCCTTTCTTCCCCAACGTTTTGACTTTGCACTTCTTCGCTGCATCCATTCCTTGGGGGTGGATGAGGGTCTTGTCCCCACGTCTGACTATTTTCCCCTCCTTCACCAACTTCTCTGAAGGGGTCAAGATGTTGTTGCCCTCCTTGCGGGGAGTTATTCTTGCCTTCTTGGGCCAGTCGTGCCTCCCCTGGGCGTTACAAGAGCTTCAGGAGCTCTTCATTCTGCTGTATCAGACGTTGATTAACTAGACGAAGAACCTCCAACTCATTATTTGAGTGGGGATTCCCCATTGGGGGATTCGCCCCCGGGATGTTTTTAAGCTGTCTATCGTTGGTGGCTTCCTGTTGTTCTTGCATTCGTGGTAGATTGGTCTGGTTTCTGCTCATGTTACGGGTCGAAACCATCAGTCACTGAAAGATCAGCATATTTGTAACAGAAATAATCGTTCTCACAGACGGCGCCAAACTAATGGTGTAAACCAATGTGGATGAGCAAAAAGTGTAGGTGACGTGTTATGATCGTGGATCAGAGCTACAAGGCTCGTGTGTGATACTGGAACGAAATGCCAAGGGGATTTGAGGGGTGCATACAATGAAAATATAGTGGTTCACGGACTTAGGAGCTCAACTAGTCCACTTCTACAATGGAGGCTCTTACTCCCTCTCCTCTATTCATTACTCAAATGTATTACAATTCGATATATCTCGAAATTAGAGTTTATTTTATAGGACTGTTCCCTATTCTGTCGAATCTCAGCTAAAATCTTTGTCTGCCATTAGTGAAATTCTCCTTGATTATAGGAGAGAATCTTGATTGGTCGGGAGTTTCATGCTTTGAACCCAATTTTCACAATTATCCAATTGTTCTCTGGTCAGTTCCGCTATCATCTCCCCAGGGAGAGCTCTGGCCCCGAATTTTTGAGCTCCTCGTATCCTACCAGACCTCCTGACCTAACCTTGTTTGTTGAGCTCGCTCTTATAGCTTATTTAAGGTATCATCAAATTTTAATTTGAGTAAGAGTTGATCCTGTTTTTAATAAGATTTCGACATGTTTGGAAGGTATCGAACAATATAATAATTGCTCGTTTTAATTTTTTTTCAACAATAGGTATTATTAGCCTGGAAAGATTTCTCTGTCCAACCACCAATACCCACCACCCTTTTATCTTTTCCAAGTCTCGATTCCACTCCTTGTGACATAGGGATCATTGTGAAGCCTTGAAGCACTGCTAAATAAGGCTGTAAACATAGTGCTTATCATGGACAATTTTCATTGAGAGAGAGAGAGAGAGAAAGAGAGAGAGAGAGAGTCCATTATCTACAAATATTACAGCCCAAACTAAGGCACTTGTGTCCAGATGCAGTTTATCTCATGACATATCAAATCATATATTATCGATCTCTACATAAGGCACTTAACTCACCCCTCCCACCACTCGCCATAAAAGGAACCCAAATACAAGGTGGGATGTGATCCATGACTTCTATGCAGGCAAAGCTGGTACTTACAACATAAGCAAACTGCCCTTTACAGAGAGTCAACGGCTGCGACCTGTTGCTGTGCAAGATATTTCTCCCTTCGTTCTTTCTGAAAAACACGGGAGTAAAACAGAGATAAATTACAAAAAAAAAATGTTAAGAGCAGTTTTCAAAATCAGCCATTTACAACAAGATCTACTCGGGATGCATACCCATTCATCTATGACAAAACCTTCACCAACTCCTCGAGGACCAGTATCAGCTGGAGGTTTCTTGCGTGATTCTACTGCAGCTTCAGCTTCAGCCAACTGACGCTTTAGTTTTTCAAGTGCCTGAACATAAACCATCACCATGTTATTATAATACATTGCTCAAAACAGGACAGAACATCATTAGAGACACAACCACTCAAGCAGATACGACTACTTGTTTTACTCACAGAAGTAGGGCGCTCTGCATCCAAAAACACAACACGCAAAATACGTTCAACAATTACTTGATCCTTTTGCTCATCAAACTGTATGAAGCAGAGAAGACATAAGAATTAGCTGATCACTGAACCTCTCAAAGACCAAACACAAATTGCCCCCTCATTGACAGTAATGCCCAACAACAATCCACAGTAAGCACATGACTTGGGCAGAAATCATCTAAATAACATACAGATGAAATCTGCACCTTTAGTACCCAAAGATACCGAGTGAAAGAAGAAATATTGCAATCACTACATGCTATTTCATGCCAAAGAAGCAAAACGACAGGCTTCCTGGAAGTTGAAAAGATATATTTTCGAAGATAGTTTTGTTATGCACTTTTAAGAGAATTGAATTGTCAGACCACAAAATACAATGATTGAACTGAATTCTGCCAACAAAAATAGTCCAAATTTATGGGCAGGACACACATTATGGCTAGTTTAGGAACTATAACAGAACTAATAATGCATTCGCTAAGTGATGCCAAAGAAGCAGAATGACAGGCTTCCTGGAAGTCGACAAGATATGTTTTCAATGGCACAGTTTTCCAAGCACATTTGCAGCACATGGAACATTAATATTTTCATGACATGGAACCTACCACTGAAGTCATTAAATGATTGAAGCATATTCATTATTTTTGTCGTCTAACATAATGAACAAACATCATTAAACAAACTGAAATGTTAGATGACAAAAACAATGAATATGAAACATTTGTCCACATGATTGAGTGATTTATACTTTTCGATTCATGATTCCACAATGCATTAACTATTAAAAAAATTGACATATTGAGTACAAGAAATGATTGCAGGAATAGGCAAAGAACACCACACTTTTTTGGCATTCATCTCATACTTTCTTGAAATGGTACCAGACTCCAGAAGTTCCACCACTTGCAATAGAAACTTCCATACTCAATGATAAAATCAGAATATAATGACAATGTGTGATATATACAAGTGAAATTGAAAACAACCAAGTTTATACAAAATGACAACTAACACCATGCATCACATATGATGCTGAACCACGGAGAAACTACCTAGAAGCCTCAATTACATTGGCTGCTATTATTGATGGCAATTTTTATTCTCTGTGATTACCCCACTGTTCGTAACGATATAAAGGATGTAAGATCCTTCAGTATTGAGCATTTCCATCCAACAGACATTCATTTAGAGAAAAAATTACTCATACCACATTTCCTTGTATACAATTCCCCTCCAATGTAATAAATTGCCTCAATTAGGACTCACTTCACCAATTCATCCTTTTTTATTTGAAACAGAAACTTAACAATAATGGGAAAAAACAGAACAGATGACTGAAAACAGTTCATGCAAAGACATTACTATACCATGGTAGTTTCAGAATACTAGATTATATACCAGGCCCCAAAAGGATATCACAAGACTCTTAGCCAAGTACCCAAAACTTAAAACAATAAGACCCAATAAACTAAGGACATAGAACTTACCAACTCCGGTACATAATCTGTTCCTGATTTCACCTTTAGACTCATGATCTTGAACTTAACCTTGCTTTTCTGATCTAATTGTTTCTCATGTTCTCTGGCTGCTCCACAAACTTGAACACTGTCACACATATAAAATTCAAATGAAACTTAGTTTATTAACAAAATGTTAATACCATTGAAGTACATACCATTGTGCCTCTTATTAACAAAATGTGGCTATTTGAAACATTGACAAATATGCAGAAATAAATTACCAGTAGCAATAAGGCTTTCTCCAGGAGCTAGGATACCACCAGGTGGTCGCATGTAACAACTCTTTGGTGCAGTAGTTTGAAACTAGTGCATGATCAACAAAACCGTTAAAATTTCAATGTAGTACTCATGTATTAAAATTTCAATGTAGTACTCATGTACATATAGAAAAAAAATAAGGGAGGGGGTGTTAACATGTAAGCTACTAAGCTGAATTGTGCTTGACATAGAGTCTTAAGTACCACAAGTCAGACAAATTACCTAATATACATAAAGTTCAGCTAAAGAAAAGCAGCACCTCATGTAAAATTTAGACTATTCAAATACCTATTTAAAGAAAGTTCCGCTGTAAACATGGAACAAAAGTTTAACTCTAACGTCCAAAAGTTATCCACATTAATATGTTGAACCACGGATACACAATTGATGAAGCAGCAAAGAAGTCAAGAGGAAGAAAATAAGAGACTTACCTTGAAAGCCACATGAGACCTGCTAGTATTCTTGATTTTAACAGCACTCCTGACCTGTTTGCCCGGTTCATCTTCAACAAACAGAAACACAAAAGAATCAGTACACTAAAACAAAAATCTACAACGCAAAAAACAATTATCAACATATATGTGTCTGTGTGTGTCTTTGGTAATCGAAGTTAAATTCAGAATTTACGTCTTCCACTTAAAATTCAGGTCTCTTATACATTTCCCTAAATTTTCTCGGCAGCCATACGGAGAAGTAAGAAATAATCAGAGCAAATGAACCAACAAACGTAAACGTAGAGCTAATGAAATACGAATTGCTTCACTTTCCGGAAAAAAGAATTGCTTCTTCCGAGAAATCAATTTATCGATAGTCAACATAACAATCAAAGCACAACAAGCATACAGGACATGACCAAAATAATCAAACTCAACAAGGAACAAAAAGAAGACGCACAAGGAAAATACAGATTGTTAGCTGGATCAAGCCGGAGTCTACGCCTGGCCGGAAGGAGCGATCTCGCGACAGATGAAACAGTATTCGGAGGGCGAGTGTTCGATACAGCACCGTTTTGCTGGTTCTGAGAATTGAGGTTCTGAGTTGAAGAAGATGACGAAGAAGCAGTTCCTGATTGCCAGAATGGACAGAGCCTCCAGAGCTTCCCTTCAAAGTGAGACCTGTGGTTGTGGTGGTGGTCGACGATGGCCATATTTTCACCGGACTCTGACACACTTCAGATTATCTAGTCCATAAGCCTAGGGTTTCACTCCTAGGTCACTTGACAGAATTTTGAGTTCTCGGAGAAGCTACAAATATATATACAAGTCTCCGAATACGGAGAGACTCGCTCTCTTGTTATGTAACTCTCTCTCTCTCTCAGAAAACTGTCATCTGAGTTGTTGGAGAGGAAATGGAAATTAAATGATGAAAAGTAGTTTGGAAAGGAAAAGTGCACAGAAACGTAAAACGGACTTAGAAAGCAGGATTTACCTTTAATTGACTTTAGAGTTGACGTCCGTGTACACACCATTCGATCAGGCTTGGGGTGTCAACCAGAAACGAGACGACACGATACGATTGACGTAATTGGTAAATACATATAATATAATAAATTTAATTAATTTTTAATATTTATACAGTAACATATTAAATAAAACTCAAAAAAATTAATATGAATATGATAACATAATATAACACAAATTAAAATAATACTATGTTTACAAAATTATTTTTCAAATTTTGTATTCTCAATAATACAAGATATATATTGAAAAAATAATAATTATTATCACACTGAAAACTTAAAATTTAATTTTCATACATCAGGTAGTGGCTGCTACATTCTTTTCCAATTAATAGTAGACTATATGCAACGTTTGGATATCTTGGGGAAAAAAATAATAATACCGCAGGGAATGGTTTAGGGGACAAGAGATTGAGGGGTTGGGTAAGGGATATTATTAGTTTGTTTATGATTATTAATTATATGTTGACAATGATGGGGAGGCTGATTAACAGAGGGGTGGGATAGTGAGGTGGGGAAATGGGAATGGGGGATTAGGTGTTTGTTTTATGTACGACATTTACGTATGTCGGCTGGGTTTGTTGGCATTGGTGTCGTTGGGAGGTAGGAATTGATTAGGTTATTAATGACATTTCAACTGGTGAGCTTGACTTCTTGAAGTAATTGAAGTGTGAACAAGTTGTTGGTTAGTTATTTATTAATTTTTTTATTTTATAATATTTAGGTTTGTCTCCACTATTTTTTTTAAATTTAAATATTAATCACCATAATTCGAACACATTTATAACTTGTCCCTAAAAAAAAAAGGGTAATTGATTCTTAGAAGATATGAAAAAAGTGTTGAATTATCACATAATAAGCTCAATTATTAAACTATCTTTAAAAATTATTTCTTTCGTTTCTAAATATTTGTCGTTTAAAATTTTTACACAGGAATTAAAATAAGCTATTAAATAGTTCTAATATGAGTAAAAAATAATTACACAAGACTAAAATACTCTTATTCAATACGTATCGAAAATAAAAGGAATATGAAAGACATGTAACTTTCACATAATCTAATGCATTGAAAAGTTAAGGGTAAATTTGAAAAAAAAAATTTTAATTATATTTTGATTTAATTAAACAACAGATATTTTAGAACAAAAAAATTATATAAAATAACATATATTTATGAAAAGGAGGGAGTAATTATTTATTTATTTTATTTTATATTTCGAGCCACCGTTGCCGGCTGCCACTCTCTTTCTCTTTCGCACACACGTACACACATCGAACAAGAAAAAAGTGAAGCTAGTGTTTTTGGCCCCCACATATATAATATTCCTAGAAGATCCCGTATGATCACGCCCACCCTTGTTGTGAAGTGTTAATCACGTTCAATTGTTAGGTTTAAATAAAAGCCTCAATCATAAACGATGTCGATCCAAGATTGATGGATGTTACATTCAAGATTTCGTAAATTTTTGAATTTTAAAAGAATATAATCACAAGGCTGAAATTTAAAGGAATTGACAATATGACACCGCTAAGAGTGAAGCCTATGGCTTAATTTGATTCAACAGGCAAAAATTTAATAGATTCAGAGCTCATTCTTGATTTTATGGTTGGTGGTGTATAATCGTTCTTAGTTATTATTGTTCGAGTTTGATAATTGAATTTAAATTCTTACTTAAACTCAACTTAATATGAATTTTGTGAGTATTCAAGCTTATTCTATAATTTCAACGATCTTAAATAAATTAAAATGGAATAGAGTATAAATAGAATTTTTAATGGCTTTAATTTTTTTTTTTTAATCAAACATTAATCACTTACTCAAACAGAATAACGAGCTTAATTAGAAGGCGGAAAAAATGAGCTAAAGCGAGAATTTGTTGCTACGGACCCCAGACAAGTTGCAATTCATAGCCAACAAAACCAGGTTGTAAACCTGGAAGTTGGATTCTAAGAACTTTCTAAACTCAAAAGTCCATACCATCATGCCAGGCTAAAACATTGCACGGTTTGTGGGACCAGCTTACAAATGAAACATAAATTTAGTATGGACTATGGAATTCCAACAAATGATCATAACCCAAGGTTATTTATCCTATTTGAACCATTTCTCAAGTGTCCCATATGTTAATAATAAGTTATACTTGTGAATTTCTTAACTTATAAATTCAATTTAGAACAGATATCCTGAGGTTATGAGATAGAAATGAGTCCAAAGGGCATATGTTTCTGTAAGGGGTAGAAATCGTTACGGATCTCATCCCTTCATTTGAAGGATTCCGGCTGACCTGGCGGCACCGAGCCCCAGTAGCCTTTACCTCTCTTCGCCAATAGGGCCCTTTCCTAAGGCAATCCCACATCGGAAGAGAGTGGTATTCCCCCCTGCCATATAAGTGAACACTTCCTATGGAGGAGGTACCCACTAGTGACCTGATCAGGTGCCTAGTGGGCACCTCCTCCATAGGAAGTGTTCACTTATATGGCAGGGGGGAAGACGACTCTCTTCCGATGTGGATAAGATCCGTAACGATTTCTACCCCTTACAAAAAGGCGCCTCCGTAGCGATTTCTACCCCTTACAAAAAGGCGCCTTTCTGTAAGGGGTAGAACCCTGTACTAAGGATTTCGGCTTGACCTGGGTTAACCCACGCAGGACCCCCCAGTAGCTTTTACCTCTCTTCGCCAATAGGACCCTTTCCTAAGGCAATCCCACATCGGAAGAGAGTCGTCTCCCCCCTGCCATATAAGTGAATACTTCCTAGGACTCGGACTCGGTGCCGCCAGGTCAGCCGGAATCCTTCAAGTGGAGGGATGAGATCCGTAGCGATTTCTACCCCTTACAGTTTCGATCATTTGATTGTTTTGAATCTAGTTAATCTTTAGTTTCGAGTAACATTCTTTTAAAGTATACGGAATAACTTAAGTGATAACATGATTTATACATGTTTCGAGTTCGAATTTTGATAATCTTTTGGAGTTAGAGTATGAAAGACAACATAAATGACATGTATTTGATCTGAAAAATAAATTAGTCGAAATATGCATAAATTGATCCGAATACTTCTAACCGTCGAAAAAAAACAGTCCTTTTACCAAAAAGGAAATTTATGATTTATAGGCTGGTAATTAAGACACACCCTAAACATACTCTAAACTCAATTACTTAATTCTAAGTCCAACAAGGGAACGGGACCTAGCTAGTTGGGTCCCCAGCAGATTAAGTGGAGGAGAATTTCAGCTTTCTCTTGTTCCCTCCTCCGTTTCTCGTCGCCGGCTACCCTCTCTGCCGGATTAAACCCAGTGCCGACCCGCCGTGGATGATCATTACTATTGCATTTGCCTAATTCTGACAGAACATTTCTTTTCTGCTCCATGTTCTTGAATGCTGCCTCAAACTTAGAGACCTTGCTATTACCATTCATCTCTACCTCTCTGTCTAGCTTTTATTCTGCAGAATAAGAGGGTTAACTGAGTAATAAAGAAAGCTGAAGGGGGTTTGTTCAAGTTGTTGATCACTTGCAGAGGTTGTTGAGTAAAAGCTTGTCTAGAACCCCTGGTCATCAATGGTATTTATAAGGTCTGAGAGCAAAGGAAATGGACTAGAACAGAACCGAGTGGCTGGAAAATTTGTCTGAACCGGTTTTGTAGAAAACCGGAGCTAGAGTCGTTGGGTTCGTGTCAAGGCTGCGGTTTTGTATTTATCTAATGGCGACAGCCTCTTGTTTTTTTCCCCCTTAAATTGCCTTGTCTTAATCATTGTTGTTAACTCGACTGAATCGTATTCTGCGTGGGACCCACTGCAGCTGGATTTGTATAAATCAACGGTGATGTGGTGACACAAACAACGTCGTAAAGGTGCTGTCACATTTTTATTTTTTGGGTCATAAAGATGCTGTCACATTAAATTACCCTTTTATTGCAGATTGTTAATACTAATTATCGAGAGAAAAAATTTTAAAATTTTAAAATATCTATATAATAAAATAGTTAGATTGATTTGTCTTGAATTTTTCGTGACTTAGATTTTTGATCCAACGATCTTAATTAATCTACATTCTTACATGACTCTATTACATTTTTTTTATTTCTCATCATCCCCATTCAAACTATCAGAGAGATATCTACATCCTTACAGGACTCTACTACATTCTTTTTTAACTTTCCTTATTTCCATTCAAACCATGAGAGAGATTGACTTGGACAATTATATGGTTATATATATAATAAAAACAAAATATATCTACAATCTAATAAAACTCTAATAATAAGGATTATCTGTAATAAAATATGATTTCATTAACATATGCCGTCCTATTTATCTGTCTATACCGATATCTACATCTATATATATATATAATCCAATCTATATAAGAAGCAATTCAAACGCGTAATTAAAATTAACAAAATAATAATATAATAACAAGGATTACCGCTAACAAAATATAGGTCTATTGTCTATATCTATATAATAAAGTAGATACATTGTTTATCTTGAACTTTTCGCGGCTCAGATCATTTTCAGGTTTTTGATCCGACGATCTTAATTAATCTACATTTCTACAGGACTCTACTACATTTCTTTTATCTCTCATCATCCCCATTCAAACCATCGGAGAGATATCTACATCCTTACAGGACTTTACTACATTATTTTTTATCTCTCCTCATTTCCATTCAAACCATGGGAGAGATTGGCTTAAACGGTTATATATATATATATATAATAAAAACAAAATATATCTACAATCTATTAAAACTCTAATAACAAGGATTATCTCTAATAAAATATAATTTCATTAACATATGCCGTCCTAGTTATCTATTAATATCTATCTATATCGATATCTGTATCTATCTATCTATATATATATATATAATCCAATTTATATAATAAACAATTCAAACGTGAAATTTAAAATTAACAAAATAATAATATAATAACAATGATTACCGTTAACAAAATATAGATCTATTAACATATGTTAGCCTATATCTATCTATCTGTCTATATCTATATAATAAAATAGCTTTATTGTTTGCCTTGAACTTTTCACGGCTCAGATCGTTTTGATTCGATAGTCCTAATTAGATTTTCATTTCTTTTACAATTCTAAGACTCTCATATCTCATATAATTCTCTCTCTCTCTCTCTCATACTGTTATCTTTTTTTTTTTCCTTTGTGTTATTTTTGTTATTATTTACTTCATAAAATAGATAAAATTACATGTTATGTAATTATTTATTCCATTAAACTAATTAATTTTTTTTATATATCTGATAACATATATTTTACCATTTGCTTCTTAATTTGTAAATAATACTTAATGTAAATCAAAAAATAGCACATTGACTATAAACACTAAATAATATTCAACACGAAATGAACCTTAGATTGTAAATTTATATATAATTTTATCAAAAAATGACATTTAATTTTGTCTAATTTATTGAAATTATTGTCTAATCTAATGACATCAAATTAATTTTTATTGTTATCAAATTAATATTAAAATTTATTTAATTAATTTTTTGGAGTACTAAATTATATCAATTTTTTGGGCACTAAATCAAATTTTATTTGATTTTATTACAATTTTTAATATTTTTTTTGTGTATTGAATTTGGAGAAAGACAATTGTAAAAACAATAAAAATTTTTGAGAAAAAATTATCAATTTTCGTTAGCAACATTGACAAAAGGGAGATAGAGGGGATCTCTAAGTAATGTATTTTAAACACAAGGGGCCTCCGTGTTATTTATAAAATATCAGGAGGTGTCCATGTAATATTACCAAAACTTAAGCTATGTCTGTAATTTTTACTCTATTTTTTAATTAAATATTAATTTATTATTATTTTATCTTACAAACTTGAATTATTGTATTTCTAATAGAAATAGTTATTGGTTAGGAGAGTTTGTTGGTAAACAAAAAAAAAAATGTGTGTGGGTGTGTTTTTGTGTATATTTATGTGTGGAGGATTAAAAATTTGGTGATTAAATTTATAATTTTATTATGTCATTTTGGGGTTAAATGGTAATAATGGTGATAAATTCATGAGTTTTATAATTGAGCATGATTTGGTTGATTTTATTTATCGTTTTAAGATTGTGAATTTAATTGTATTTTGTTAGTTTCTTTTTTTTTTTTTGCTTGAGGTATTTATTACATGAGAATATGATGGATTGAAAATATGGTGGTTGAGTTTATAATTATGTTGTGTAATTGAATTGAATGATAGTAGATGTGATAAATTCATGAATGTTATAAATGAACAAGATTTTATTTATTACTTAAAGATTAAATTTCAACGAGTTATGCTAATATTTTTTTTTCAGATGCATTTATATATATGGTGTTATTTTGGGAAGTTTTTATATATTTTTATAACAGTTCCATTAATATACAGGATATGATCGACGATATATTTCAAGTCATTTAAAAAAAAATTAGTACAAATATTTTTATGTCATTTTTTTGAATTTAAACAATTGTTTAAGATTTTTTTATTTATTGTATAGTATTTTTGGACACGGATAATAACTAGTAATAAATAAAATACAAAGTCATACATGATTTGATATAACGTATCAATTTTGGTATTATCATATCTATATTCATGGACTAAAAATTACGTCAATATATTTTTCATTGAAAAATTAGTTATTTGGTACCTGATTACATCACACTCAATCCTATTCGTAGAGATAAAATACTGTAACTCAAATCTATTCAAATACATCTTGAACTTTAATATTCTATTATATGTCTAATAAACCTATCTATAGTTTATTAGGACACCTCTAATTTCTTTCTTATATGATTGGGGAATATTATGATCTTTTTTACTTTTTTCCTATTAGATATTAGATTCTCACATGGTAAAAAAAAAATGTAATAGAAGGGGATGAGTAAGATAAACGGATGGGATGTAGAAACTTTAACAACTTGATAATGAATGGATCAACCAATTGGGCAGAGGGTAGGTGGAGTAAATGCTCTCACTAGCCGGATAGAAAATCTCTTACAGTGGACAAGTAATATGAGTATTTATGGCATAATGTCAATGCATATCGGACTACCCGAAAGGCTACCCGCCTCAACCTTCTAATACTCAAGTCAACCCACAACTGTCTCGATCGTGGCGATATCAGTGGTCACTAATCATGAGTCATATGTCTTAACATTAATTAGATAGATGTGACGTTTTCTCAAATGCAGCCTTGATGCGACTCCCGAGGAACAGTGTGACAGCTAAGGCAAAAGGGAGCTCCCAAGGTTAATGATCACGATTGGTTATCATGAGATTATGACCTTGAGAAGACCATGTATGCAATGCCCCCAGCGCATTACTAATCGAGATCCTCCCTTCCCTCTCTGAACTCTTTTCCGAGACCTTTGTTAAGTTATCTGATAGAAGAAACCCACATAGTTTCGATTATTTAGCCTCCAATTCACATGTCTCATTATCGTATATGTTCATCAAGACCAATAACTTCAGTTATCTTAAGAATCCCTTCAAATTCCAATCAAACACATTATAGTGGGTAATGAGTCATACACTGGGAGACTTGTTCAAACAGACTACGCATTCGAGATCTTGCCCCAGACCATGATTGACAATCATACTCGTCTTCCCTTATTGCTCAATTCTCTTTTAAGGAGAGTCATACTGTCATGCCCTAGATTGGGACCTTTTTTTTCTTAGTCCAATGGTCAATCAAGCAACAGGTCCACTAGGCTGATAAAACTCATTTCGTCGGCTGTGCAATCTTGACCTTGTGTCCTATTTTCAAAGTGAAGGAAGTGAATCGCACCAAGGTTACCCCCAGACCTCCCGCAATGCTACTCTTATCCGTCCTTAGTTAGTGGTCCTTTTCCACTTTCAATATGATAAGGATGCGTCTTACCCTTTTGCGACACCGTGCACTGTCACGGTGATGGGCGACTGGGGGCGTTGCACCTAGGTGCTGTTGAGACAATGTCGGCCATATCCATTTCTGTTGGACCCTGTTGGCCCAACTGCCATGTAATTAAGTTATCAATGTTTGTCATTTGTTCCTTCATGACTTGAACATGTGTCCTGAAATTATGAAGTAATACAAATTGTATGTTCTTTTATTTAGGGGTTGATGGTGCTTACTTTTGGATTACTTTTCACCCCTCCATGGGTGATTTCTCATCTGCAATAAATGCATTATTTGAAAGTTTTAATAATGATTTGATGATTAATATGAAAAAAAAAATCCAAAAAAAGCCAACTATATGCGGTTACAATAATCTCCTAGATCAAATTTCACTTCCATGTATTGAGAACAAGGTAACAAGCTTAAAATTAGTTGAAAATGGAACAAGGCAATGCAATTTTTACCGAAAATTACTTTCATTTAAGTTATATGTACAATCATGCATACAAAAATGTGAAGACTCATGAGTTAGGACCCCAACAGCTCAAATACATAACATTTCTCAGTGATTCCTCTGATTGCTTCACTTTCTTTTCTCTCATGATCTTACTAGAAATTGCTGTCGATGAGGGTGTCGAGAGTCTCTCAGCTTGAGAATACGACCTGACATTGGACTTGCCATGCTTTTGTAGCAACCTCATTGCGCAATTCCATCTGCAGAACCCTTGATCTTTCAGTGCCTCCACAGTGCCAATACTAGCTGCCACAATCCAAGATCTGCTTGTGGAACTCATTTTCTGCCCCTTTTCTCTTCGAATTTTGAGCTAAAACCAACTGGGTATATTGGATTTTACTTGGTGATTGAGAAATATAAGTGAGTTTGTTTTGTGGAAGTATGAAGGGACTGAAAGAGTTGTTATATAGAGTGAAGGTGAAAGTATGGAAATTAAGGGAAGAAGATAATTGGAGGTAGTTTCACCAATTGACAAGGAAATCCCCTGTTTTTGGCTAGTGGTATGGGAAACCATGTCCAGCTCTGCGTTGTCTTTGAACCTGGACACTCTGGAGAGAGAAAAGTAGGCAAGTGGATGATGCCATGATGGCGAGGTACCACATTCTATGGTCCCCATCAATATGGGAGCTTTGTTCTTTACCTTGCATGTTGCCACTTACGTTCAATATATTCCTTGGATCGGCCATGTTGCTGTTTGATAAGATTTTGGCACTAAGTCGTATTTATTTAAAATTATTCTTAATTTTAATGTAGTTATCAAGTAAGGTTTGATGTACTAGAAAAATGTCATTTGTTATTTTGTTTTGGTAATGTTGTGGTGATGGACAACCCTTCTTGATTAGTAGTTATGATTTACAGCAGACATTCTACAGTAGGTAGAGGTGTTCAAATTTTCATTATCCGCAATTTCTTACCCTATTCGATCATACCCGACACTATATATATATATATATATATATATATATAAAAACTAAAAACCCTAATTCCTTTACGCCTCGTCGCCTCCTTATTTGTCTCGCCTCTCTCACCTCTTTCGCCATTTCGCCTCTCTCACCTAAGGTTGTCAAAATTCGACACGACGCGATTGATCGACATGATTTAAACAAGTTTGGGTGAGATTTTAACGAATTTGGGTGATAAACGGGTTGACATGCCAAACACGTTTAATAAACGGGTCGTGTTCGGGTGAGACATGACAAACCGTTTATCACACGTTTACCCTTTTAAATAAAATTAATATAATAATAAATTAATAATTATTTTAAAAAATTAGCAAGAAAAAAGAAGTAAAGAAATCAATAAAAAAAATAAGTAAAATAGTAGTTCAAAGATAAAGGAGAAGAGTTGGAAAGCACTTCATAGACAAAGGCAAACAAATGTCTTTTATTTTTGTCTTACATTAAAAAATGAGGGGAGATGAAGAGGGTTGAGTTGCCTATAAAAGACAATGACCTTTTGTTTTTATTTTTAAAGCCTTTAAGTCTTATTTTTCAAAGAGAAATGAGAGGAGTTGTAGAGCACTTCAAAGACAAAGACAAATCAATGTCTTTTATTTTTGTCCCACATTGAAAAATGAGAGGAGATGGGGAGAGTGAGTTGCCTATAAAAGGCAATAGTCTCTTGTTTGTTTTTTTAAAGCCTTCAAGTCTTAATTTTATGAAATTTGATTTAAAATTCCTCTTTTTTTGAGGTAAGTGCCATTAGTAGTAAAAAAAATTGAGTATTAAAATTTGTTGATATAATTTTTTTAAATTAAATGAGTTAAATGAGTCGTGTCGTGTTACTCATTTATTAAATGAGTTGTGTTCGTGTTGAGATTTTTTACTTGTTTATTAAATGTGTCGTATATAAGTTTATACATTTTTCACCCGTTAACCGTTTAACCCGACACGTAACCGTTTAATCCGACACGATTGACACCCCTACTCTCATGTGTTTTATAGTAATTGTTTTAGGATTTAGTGTTATTAATTTATTGTGTAGTTAAATTGATGCAGAATATTTAATTGAAATATTAAAATGATACAAAAGTTAATAATTACAAAAATGTGTTCCCCCGATTTCTTACCCTATTAATTTGAACAGAAGTCGGGTAGGAATACTACACTTCATCGGGTAGGATAGTCCAAAAAAAAATTCTTCTGTAAAGTATCGGATAGAAAGATGAAAAACTATATTTTCTACCCGTAGGATAGGGTGAACACCCCTAACAGCAGGGGACCTTTATGGTGATTCCCACAGGTTACTATATATTGGTCGCTCATCTCTCTTTTTAATTATTCAAAGGAAAAGGACATAATTTGAAAATATGATATATTGTGATTATTAGATATATAGTTTTATACATCTAATGTTATTACTCACCGATAATTTAAGGCGGACAAGCATTATATCCCTATTTGTTATTAGTGCATATATAGATGATCACACCTGAAAGTTAGCCTAGGACATGGTAGAGGGCCCGTTTTGCGTTTCTTAAATAAAGTAGGCCTGTCCCAGAAAGCTTGGTGGCTCATTAGCCCATGAGTTGGCCCATCCTTCTGTGTTTAGCATCACAAATTTGGGATCTCAAATTGTTAGGTTAGACTTGCAATGGAAGGAAAAAAACATTAGGTGTAATTTATATACCATATCAGTAGTGTTAGGTGATATAACTGTCTACTAATAAGTAAATCTGAATGTGTTAAAGATATGTCACATGACAGAATTAGAAGAAAAGTAGGAGATTATCATAACACAGATACATTTTTGAAAGAAGAGTAACTAATTGAATTATCGACGGAGACAAAATCATCAAGAATGTTGACTATAAAAGGCATGCACGTAGTGGAGAATATGAGGAGAACATTCAAACTCCTACAAGATCTACGATCTTCGCATTTTAGGAATAGTGTTAGATTAATTTTTAAAAAACATTAACGATCGCAATCAAGACTATAAGTCTAGTCTTTTTTGTAATCGAAGACTTTTCGATTGCATTAATAAAATAATTCTTTTTTATTAATTCCCTATACTATTTGTCGATTGAATCTCTTCTGTTCACAATAACAAAATTTAGAGCAACAATATATTATAAAGAATAGAATGGTAATTTTACTATCTAAGCAAGTAAAAATATTTTTCGATTTGTCATAAACTTTACTTTGAATTTTCTTGGATAAACTATTTTAGAAACATTGCACTTGGTATATCAAAATTCTAGTTTCGTTACATAAAAATTCAAGAAATAAGTATGGGAATGCCATTAAAACTCAATTGAAACATAATCAGTCCTATAAAGAACACACGCAAAAAAAAAAAAAAAAAAAACTATACACAGGTAAAGCAATACCCAAAAAAAATAAAAATTCACAGTAAACCTTAATAGAATGAAAAATATAAAACAAGTAATTAAATACAAATCATGACTCATATTGTCCAAAAATATTATTCAATTAAGGAATTGTGAGATGAAATTACTAAAATATATTTGATTAACTAAATATAGATATGTACTTTTATTCATCCTTTTCTAAGTAAAAAATCATTTATAATTTATAAAATAAAGCATGATACGTTTTAATATGTTCATTCGATGGTTTCAAATAGAATTATCTAACGACTACTAAAATTCTATTCAAAATTATTTACATTGTATCATACTTTCAGACACAAATTACCCTTATTAGATACTAAGGGGTTAACTTGTGTCTAGTCGCGGTAAAAATTTAAGATAAATATTGGTGGTTGTTGAATAAATCTATTTGTGATGATTGAACAGATTTATTGAAAACTATCTTATTTTCCATTATAAAATCTGTAACAAAAAAAAAATTGAATCACCAAAAATTTGCGAAAAATCAAATATATCAAAAGTCTGCAAATAGAAAGTCTAACTGCTAAATGTAAAAGAAAATTTTTATTACAAGAAAAACAAAATACTATTTGGAACAAATTTTTGAGAAATAGATTAAATATCGATGAGAAACCTAATATTGTTCCGGTTTCGATGAAGAAGATGATGTTGCCGCTGCCGCTGCGGTGGCTCCACCATGAATGCTACTTTGACTGCTTCTGTCACCGTCACCACCACCATATGTTGGTTCGACTGTTTCGGTCGCTGTTACAACCACCGCTATTGCTGTTGCTTAGACTGCTTTGGTCCCCGTCACTACCTCCAGGTCCACCACCATTGCTGTTGGTTGGACTGCTTCCGTCGCTGCCACTGCCAGCACCATTGCTGTTACTTGGACTACTTCCGTCGCCACTTCCACCACCATTATTGCTACTTCGACTACTTCCGTCACCGCCATTACTGCCTCTTGGACTATTTCCGGCGCCAACATTGCCACCGTCTTCTTCTACTCCTGGTAGCTTAACGAGAGCAAAGCACGGTTCTCCACCTACTCGGAACTACCACAGTTGAATAACCAACCCTAGTTCAAGACCATTACTGCTCTTCATCGTTTTCCATGACGGTCCGTTCAACACATACACGGGGCTAGAACCTCCTCGTTTCTTCTTCATCTCCCACCTCCTCAAGCTTACTGTGCACACCTGAAGTAATGGGTCAATCAATCTCACCTCCATAACAGCCACGTTATTGTCTCTATTACGCCCTTTCAAGAACTCTCTCTCGTCGTCCTCAAGAAACTAGGTCCTGATTTGGCTCTCTGGAATAGAGAGTCAATTCTGAGCGTCGTTTACATCAGTCCAGTACAGTGCCTTTTGTATCACCAATACAATTGTCTCCGGCGAACCACCCATGTCTCGAATACGTTCTCGGAATTCAATAGGCAAAGAGGGTGGTGGGTTTGGACCGTGATCAAGAACCATTGGTCTACCAATCTTGTTCCTGTTCTTCTTCTCCGTAGCCTTGGAGTGATCATCATCGTCGTCGTCATCGTTTTTGAATCTTAATCTTTTTACAACCCTTGAAGAGATCTGATTTCGTGAACGATGAATATTTAGCAATACTGTCTAAATATCTTCTAGCAGCGGCCACCTGGTAAGACTTAGCAATCTTTTCTGAGGAAGGACTCCAACCCAAGAAGTACTCCTCTGTTTCAACCATTATCATCTTCCTCTTGTCCTTGGAGAGAGGAGAACATTCTGGTAATGTTGTAATAGCGTTCTCTAAAGACTTTTGTTTTCTGAAATTTTCACCCCTTGATATGTCAAGAGGGCCCCAGGGAGGCCTCACTTTCAAGTACCTATCGGCATTAGAGTGAGAAAAACTCTCTGGGTTTGTCGTTACAGGCGTCTCCGAAGTCATCTGTTCCTTCAAATTTTCGCCACCCTTTGATACGTCAAGAGGGCGCGAGACAGTACTCAAGTTCAAGTCATCCATTATCTTCAACCTCTGGCCATTGGAGTGATCAAGAACTGAATCTGTGGAATTAGGACTCATGTTCTTTACTCTTTCTTCTTCCAACTTCTCCTGTTCTTCCAATTTGAATCCTGCAATGCTTGCAACTGTTGCCATGTAATCCATTGGAGTCCACCAAGGTTCAGGCTTAATACCTATCACATCTTCAATCGTCACGAGCGGATTCGCCGGAATATCTTTCCCATCCTGCATCTCCTTCCCCGAGTCCTGAATCTTCCTCTCCGACTTGGAGTGATCAGGAACTGAATCTGTGGCACTAGGATTCATGTTCTTGACTCTCTCTTCTACCAACTTCTCCCGTTCTTCCAATTTGACTCGTGCAACGCTTCCAACTCTTGCCATGAAATCCATTGGAGTCCACCAAGGGGCAGACTTAATATGTATCACATCTTCAATCGTCACGAGCGGTTTCGCCAGAATATCTTCCCCATCCTGCATCTCCTTATCCGACTCCGAGTCCTGCTTCTTCCTCTCCGACTTGCTGTAATTAACAAAACCCTAATATTTCTTTCAAGAATGTCTGGCAATGGAAGACGAAAAAAATTCGTGTTTTTAATCTGAAAAAAAATACCTGGAGCTTAGAGTAAAAGAATCGGTTATAAACAAGGTCGGCTCAGAGCCCAAAAAGCACGAGCTTTGGCCCAAAAATTTTAAAAGTCAATAATAAAATATAGATCAAATATATTTTGATCAATATTTTATTATAATTTAGCTTAAGAAAATTTTTTTTGGAAGATTATGTCAACAAAAAAAAATTTAAAACTTATGTCCAAAAGTACAGTCCACATATATTAAAAGGACAAAAAAATATAATAAGTGTCTTTCTTTCAAAAAAAAACTATTTATTAAATTTAATGTTATTTTCATTTAAACACAACAATACCAACTAATTAAATTGTTCAGTGTCATAAAAGATCAACAATAAAAATTAATTAATATAAAAAAAATTCAATAATGTTTAGTATATATTAGATGCCTAAATTACTAAAAAAAAATTATGTAACACTAAATTATAATATTTAATATCTTTATTGTAATAGTACCTTATAACAGTCAATAAAAAATGTATAAAATATAAAATAATACATATATTACTTTTAATCATTGCAAATCATCTAATAATTAATTTATCTCACTTAATCAATTTCATGGACAAAAACTTGACAATAAAAAACGAGTAAAGACTACAATTATTACAAGATGTACAGATATTTTAGAGAGCCAAATCAGGGGCTAGAACCCCCTTGTTTCTTCTTCATCTCCCTCCTCCTCAAGCTTACTGTGCACACCTGAAGTAATGGGTCAATCAACCTCACCTCCACAGCAGCCACGTTATTGTCTCCATTACGCCCTTTCAAGAACTCTCTCTCATCGTCCTCAAGAAACTAGGTCTTGATTTGGCACTCTGGAATAGAGAGTCGATTCTGAACATCGTTTATGTCAATCTTGTATAGTGTCTTCTGTATCACCAATAGAATTGTCTCCGGCAAACCACCCATGTCTAGAGTACGTTTTTGGAATTCAATAGACAAAGAGGGTGGCGGTTTTGGACCGTGATCTTGTTCTTTTTCTCCGTAGCCTTGGATTGATCATTGTCGTCGTCGTCGCTTTCAAAAGTATAGTCCACATATATTAAAGGACAAAAAAAAGTTAACACTTTGATAAAAAAATATAATAAGTGTCTCTCTTCCAAAAAAACATCATTTATTAAATTCAATTTTGTTTTCATTTAAACACAACAATGCCAACTAATTAAATTGTTCAGTGTCATAAAAGATCGACAATAAAAATTAATTAATATAAACAAAATTCAAAAATATTTATTATATATTAAATGCCTAAATTACTAATAAAAAATTATGTGACACCACATTATAATATTTAATATTTTTATTGTGATAGTACCTTATAATAGTCAATAAAAAATGCATAAAATATAAAATAATACATATATTAATTTTAATCCTTGCGCATCATCCAATAATCAATTTGTCTCACTTAATCAATTTCATGGACAAAGACTTGATAGTGAAGAACGAGTAAAGACTACAATTATTATAAGATGTACATATATATCAATCTTTTAAATAAGAGGAGGCACAATAGGGCCGGCTTTAGGACCCGAACATTAAAATAGTCGTCTAGAACCTAAAAAATTTAAAGATCTAATTTAATTTTCAGTCATTTGTTTAACTTCAAGTTCTGAGGCCCTTTTGAAAGGACTTAGTTAAAGGCCAATAAATATATTTCACAAGTCTATCAAAAGCGTTATAGAAAACTCTAAAATATAATATTATTTTTACAAGTCTATGTAAATAAAAGTTCTAAAATATAACAAAATCTTCTAAAAAAATCTAAAATTAATGACTTCTACCTTTAAAAGTAGCAATCTTTCTCAAAATTTTTCATTAATTTTTTCTCCGCTCTCATCGTTTCTCTCCAACTCTTTCTCTTATTTCCAGTCTCATTGTCTTACTCTGATTTTTTTGTCCGTATCTTTAGCTATATTGTTTTTTCACTTTATTCAATTTATTCATCTGTAAGATCTTGACTTCACAATTACATTTGATTATGCTCGATTCCAAAACCATTAAAACTTTGAAAATATTTCTGCAAAATATTTTCTTGCTTTAGGCCCCAATTTGTGTTGGGCGCCCTTGGTTATAAATTCGACTTGGTATTGAAGGTGTTTTAAGAATCACAACACTTTTTCTTCTCCTAAACCCTAATAAAATGGGCCTTGAGCGACAAGTAACCAGGTTAGGGAAGTAGTGTTATATTGGTACCTAAAAAATCGAGTAATTCTATTTACATCTAATTGTAAAATAATGATGTGGCTTGTTAATAGAGTCTCAATAAAAAATAATTCTACCAGACCATATGTCATATAATTAGGTCAATAAATTAAATTAAAATTTTAAATCACAATATAATTACTTGTTTCTAATTAGGCTCCACTATTGATTGCTATATATGTTTCTCAATTTTTTTTTGTTACACAGTGTTCAGGTTAACGCCAATTATTTTCTCGAACTCAGCGACTGACCACTGTAACTTGAGTTAGATTAGAGTATATTTCTAAAGGTCAAGCTCAATAACTGAACTGGTTTATACCTCTCAATTTAGAACTCCAAATAAGGTTCGTAAATAATTAGACTTATTTATTTTTTGAAAAAAGTGAATCACAACTACTCATGAATAATGCCACTTACAATTAATCAGAAGATCCAAACATGTTATATAATTTATGACCCATATAATATTATCATACATTATCAATCAAACGAGAATAATTAGTTAATTTAATAGTTTAAATCAAATAATTAGATTCAATTAACATTATTAGATACGAAGGGATTAATCGAGATCTAAAAATAGATTTGTATACCTAGTGTAAGAGTGATTTGTAGGCAAACAAGACATGTCTTCGATTATTTAGGAGGTATTCTTGGAATTCACATCTTTTTCAACAACATTGTTCTTCGAGTTCCTGTATGAGAGGAACTATTATAATGAAGTTACTGAAGTTATTCACATGATCGCTTCACCCTAATCTTAGGGTCCGTTAGTTTAGCGAGAGAATGATAGTTAATGCAAAAAAGAATTTTTTTTTAATTTTTTTATGTATTTGGTTAGTATGAAATAGAAAATGATAGAAAACATAATTTTCTTTCATACTTGAATTTTCTCACAACTAACCACCTTTTTTTATTGTAAAAAACGCAAGTAAATGCAAGAAGTTGTAATATATAACTAAATTTTCATTTTACCTTTATTTTTTAATAAATATTTTATTGGTTATTAATTTTAAAAAATATTGGCATGGATTTGATTAACTATATAATGTGGTCTAAAAACCTTCGTGCTAGTGTTTTTCCTATAACCAAGTTACATGCCACTTTTTTAGACCAATTTAATATAATTAAGGATAATTTAGACAATTAGAAAAATATTCTTGTAACTTTCATTTCTTTTAAACAATAGAATGAAATTTTTTTAAAACTTTATCGCAAGTGTTTTATTTTAATCAAATACATGAGTGAAAATATATTTTTCATCATTTTTTTTTCACTTTATTTTTTATCATTTTTACTTTCCATCATTTTTTTCTTCCTAACCAAACGGACTCTAGAGTTTTGCAAGGCCTAAGAAATCGGATCCAATTAGAAAACTATAAAAAAAATTCTAAAATTTGATCTTTATCATGGGAAAACAAGGGTTTATAGATATTGTGTATATTATAAATAAGTTACATCGTGGATATTTGTTATCTTGCGTTTCGACATGATTGTAAAATTAAGTTATTTAGATTAGATTAAGTTAGTTCCATTGCCTGGAATGATAAGAAAACTCCAACATCAATCAAAGATTAACAAAGCCACTCAATTTTCATTGCAGATTCTTGGAGGGCCAAACAAGCTGGGCCATATCAGACCCATCTGGTAACCCAAATTGTTATGCCCTAATTGTTACCCCGTCAACAATGTCATGTAGTATAATCGTTCAATAATAAGTGGACAAATGAGCAAGTGAGCCATCACAGAATTAAGTAACCACTTATCTACGTAATATGTAACCGCCTCTATGTAAGGTAATGTGGGCAACTTTATTCATTTTTTGATTTTTTTATTAGATGAGTACACCATATGACATTGTTTTTTTTTTGATCAATCACTATATGATATTGTTAAAATAGTATAACCGTTATATTGGATATGAAAATAGTTGTACTCTTTTTGAACCCGTAATATTTGTACAGAGTATTCCGACATAGGCAACAAGTCAGTGGATCTATTCAAATCTGATATGAATCGGACGTTTTCAGTTACTAGTTGGTGTACACGTGATTTATTTTGAGTATCTAATATTTGCACAAGTGTTGAATAAATTATTTGAAATTTTATTAGTCAAATTCTCTTAAAATAAGTGGTTCTCTATCATATATACCAGAAGTTAAATGTTTTTCTTAAACAAACCATATGAAAATAGAACACTGATGCTTTTATATGGGATATTGTTGGCATAAAAATAGTACCTTGCAGAAAAACATTCTGCACTGATGAACAACATTTTGGCTAACTAATTAATTTTATTGTAAGTCCTTTTGTTATGACATAGAAGATATAAGGTTGTTCAAGTTCCAATCGATAATGGAATATTTATTCTAGAAGGTAAATCAATGAGTATTGGATGAAGGATATTTACTGGAGAAGACTAAATGTTAAATCGGTTATTATTCAATTAAGGCTAAGAATAACTTTATGCTATTGAGTAGGGCTAAAATAAAAATTTAGAAATTTTTTGGATCAATTTGATTTAACATTTACATTTGACAGGGAACTGCAACTACTCTTTAAGTTTTTAGGAAAAAAACCCACCTTGACGATACCATCGGCCAACAAACACTGTTTAATAGGACAACTCGAAGCATTTTATACTTTTGAAGCTTCAAAACATAACCCTAAAAACCTTCTAATTTGATCCCTTTTTTCTTCTAAAACTTGATGTGCATGTTTATTTTAAGTATTGCGCATGAGATTAAAAAATGTATTTCTTACATTTCTAATATTAATGAAAATTAGTACCAATAACAGAAATTATTTTAATCCCTTCTCATATTTGTTTGTTCAATAGGTACTGATACGGACGAAACTCAAGGTCAAGGCTTTGATGGCCTAGGAGCCTGATCAGCCCAAGAGGCCCGGAGCAAGGAAGGAAAACTTAGCATCGACAAAAGGCTTGTAACCCAACAATCCAGACCCAGTACAAACCGTAAAGCAGTCCAAAGGTTAAAAGTCCAGTCCAAAGGTTGAAAGTCCAGTCCAAGCTACTTCTGGATCGCCAGTGGGGACCACACACCCTAGGGATCCAGGGACCACTCCTGACCTACGACAATCTCAGAGAAGGTGGAGTACCAAGCCACCAGAGATCGTGGCAACGGCAGCGCCGGATGAACAGTGATGGTGGTAGCAGAAGAAGTAGGAAGGGGCAGAGAAAAGGACTAGAGAGATCAATATGAAGGGAAGGACAACTGAAAACCCTAGGAGAGACTCTAATATAAATAGAGAACGATAACCTGGCAAGAAGGAGCTTCATCTTCTTGAACCCAAAAAAAACATTCAAAAGCCTAAAAATAAGAAAGCCAAGAGAGAATAGCTAGATACTCATCCTTTGAAAGAGGATTTCGGGTCCCCAGCTTCAGGGGGCACACCTCGATCGATCAATATACAAACCCAGTGAGAAAGAGACTCGATTGATAGTGGACGTAGTCTTAGTCCATCGGCTAAGGTGAACCACTCATATTCTTTATCTAATTGATCACGAAAGATTAATCCATAAACTATAAAATCTACTCAGCACATCATCCCATCATAGTTGGGCTTGAGCCATAAATTCCGAGCACCATCAGTTGACGCCGTCTATAGGAAACGTTTTCATCTACTTGATGGTTTCAACTCGGAACATGAGTAAAGCTCCAGCCAATTCCCAGGTCCAGCAA